GAATTTACTTATTGCTTGTTTATTGTGTATGTGTGCTGGTTATTTATAATATTATGCAAGTATACTCGTGTAGATTCATGATTTCTAATTGTATTGTTTTTCATTTTTAATTAATAATATTGTATTTTAGCTTTTTGATAATTGTCTGTTAATTGTGTACTCATTTATTAATAGTAGGACCTTATGTATTCAGCTATGCCTATTTGGGAGTCATTATTAAGATTTGGGATATTTGGCATACTCTTATGGGTGGGAATTTCTTGCAATGCAGTATGAAGGATGAATTTCAGTAATCTGAAGAAGCCGATTTGTTGGAGAAATGCATCATGGCATGTGCAAATTCGGGATTATTCTAACTCGTAGTGACCGAATAATCTAAATTTGATTAAAGATAGGAGGCGAATATTTGCTTATCTTTCTTTACTGTAACTCCCAGCAGCAAAGAAACAGTTAACAGCAGTGTAAAAAAAGTTTAACCAATCAGTATGCATTACAGTAATATAAACTGTCATCAGGCTCCTCACAATTCCTCTTTCTTGATGTAGCCGAACAGTCGTAGAGTCAACCATGTAAACATAGAACCATTAAAACAATGAACAGGAAACGGTGTAGGTATCCGGTAGCATGAAGGTAGTGTTCAACCCGCAGGTAGATTCGAGACAGAAGGCAAGTGATCTTCACACTAGGAGGAAGGCGAAACATCGTGAAAGTATGGTCTCTTTGGCAAGAGAAAAAGCCACATTAAATGCAGTGAACTGACTTCCAATTTAAGTGCAAGCTCTAACCTATGATAATTAACTGTGTGGTATGTAGAGTAAGTGACACACCTAGAATACAATAAACTAATGTACAATTGAAAGCGGGTTTAGCATATAATAATGAACTAATGAGTATAGGCTAGAGAAAGGAGAGGATGCTAGTCATTAGTTAGAACTGGAGATAGTACGAGATACTTACCTAGAAGGATGGGTAATGAAAATCCAGGGTGGGAAAATATTCGCCTCCTGTCTTTAATAAAATTTAGATTATTCGGTCACTACGAGTTAGAATAATCCCGAATTTTATGGCAAGACAGGAGGCTTCATATTTGCTATTTTAATGCAAAGATAGCATGGACAGAGAAACATGTGGAGAATGTCTAAAATAAAAAGTACGGAAGGTGGATTCTCTAGACCAATCAGCGAAGGATAGAATCTCCGCTAAGGAACCTCCAGCTATGAGTGCAGAGGAGGCGGCTGCGCCTCTAACCGAGTCAGTTCCGAAAGACGCATCAATGCCAGCCAGGGCTAGAAGCCATTTAATCCAACGTGCAATGGTAGGGCACGAGACTGGTTTGTGAGGTCGTACATAAGATACCAGGAGGGGCCCAGTAGGTGCGCTAAGAGGGGTAGTGCGAGCGATATAGTGTCTTATACACCGGGCTACGCAGAGGAGAGGTTTCTCCGAGAAATAGGGGTAGCTCACAGTAGATGAGTTGGTCTTGGTGCGTCTAGTGATATGAAAGTGTACCCCTTCCGGTGTGAAATCGAGGGCATGAAAGTCGAAAGCCCTGATGTCGGAAACTCTTCGGAAGGAGACCAAGCAAAGGAGGAGAGCTAATTTGGCTGACAATTGGCATAGGGAGAGCGCCTCGTTGTCCGGCCAAGCTTCTAAGAACATGAGCATGATGGCCACGTCCCAGAATTGATTATATTTGGGAGTCGGGGGTCTAGCGATGCGGATGCCTCGCAAGAGACTACAGACAGAAGGGTGTTTGCCTACTGAAGAACTTTCGATAGGAATGTGCGCTGCAGAAATAGCAGACTGAAACACGTTAATGGTCCGGTAGGATTTACCCTGGTCGAACAGAGACTACAGGAAATTGATAATATTAATTATAGATGTTGAAAAGGGATCAAGGTTCCTTTCCAAGCACCAGCAACTCCATAGACGCCATGCAGAGATGTAAGAGCGTCTGGTTCCCGGGGCCCATGAATCCCAAAGGAGTCCCTGAGTAGTTGTCGAAAGGCCTGAGACATTCCAAGATCCCCTGAAACGGTCCAAGCCACTAGTTGGAGATGATCCTGGATTGCCAATGGGTGAAAGTTGCCTGTCGGGTCTCTGAGGAGATCGCAGGCGTTGGGTAGCAGCAGGGGGAAGTCCACTGACATTTCCAGGAGGTAAGGATACCTTATGGTTGGGCCCACCATAGCGGGGTCACTAGTGTTATCTTGACACCCTGAGTTTTGAGGTGCTGTAGTGTGCATGGAATCATGGAGAATGGAGGGAATGCATATGCCCCGGACATCGGCCACGTCTGTATGAAGGCATCAACTGCAAGGCACGCTGGGTCCGGCAACCAGCTGTAAAATGCGTCCGTCTGCCTGTTGAGGCGAGATGCAAAGAGGTCCAGTTTGAATGGCCCCCGGCAGACCTGGAGACGGTAAAATATCTGTGGATTTAGTTGCCAATTGCTGGAGTCCCTCCAATGTTGGGAGAACCAGTCTGCGACAAGGTTGTCTGATCCCGGTAGATATTCCGCTCGCAGGGAGATATTCCTGTCTAGGAAGAACTGATATAATTCTTTGGTCAGATCTGAGAGCATCTTCGATTTGGAACCTCCTAGATGATTCATGTAACAAACTGCTGACACGTTGTCCATCTTCAGCACCACGGAACAGTTGTAGACATCCTTGGCGAAACTGCGGATTGCGAAGGAGTCTGCAATCAGTTCGAGGCAGTTGATATGAAGTGCTCATTCTGAGTGGGACCAGAGTCCTCCTGTAGAGCTTTCCGAGCAAGTTGCGCCCCATCCGAGCAGACTTGCATCCGATTCCAGGATGAAGTCTGGTTGGGATCCGAAAATGGCTCTTCCATTCCAAGCGTCCATATGGTGTAGCTACCAATGGAGTTCGAGCCGGGCTTCGTCTGTGAGTGTGATCTATTGGTCGTAGGACGTCGACTGATGTAAGTATTGGGTCTTCAGGCGTTGCAATGCCCGGTAGTGCAGTGGGGCAGGGAATATAGCCTGTATTGAGGCGAAGAGCAAGCCGATGGTGCGGGCTAGATCTCGCAGGCGGAGGTGTGGTGATATCAGTAACCTCTGAATGTCTTTTTTTTATGGATTTGATTTTGGATGCCGGAAGTTGAAGGACTGCTTGAACAGAGTCTATCTGGAATCCCAGGAATTGTATCGTCTGGGACGGTGTTAGAGATGATTTCTGGTGATTGATCATGAAGCCAAGATTCTGCAATAGGGCGGAGGTCATGCTTGTATGAAGGTGGAGAGTTTCTTGGTCCTGTGCCATGAGGAGGATATCGTCCAGATAAATTATGGAGCAGATTCCTTGGGAGCGCAGTAAGGCCATCACTGGTTTCATTAGTTTGGTAAAGCACCAGGGTGCAGAAGATAGGCCAAAGGGGAGGCAGGTGAACTGCCATAGAGCTTGTTCCCAACGAAACTGAAGGAGGCAGCGCTGTGCTGGTGTTACCGGCACCGTGAGGTATGCATCCTTTAGATCGAAGCGGGAGAACCAATCTCCCTCGGAGAGTAGGTCTCTCAATAAATGGATCCCCTCCATTTTGAAGTGACGGTATGTGATGAACCTGTTCAGATCTCTCAGGTTGATGACAGGTCGTAGACCTCCTGATTTTTTCTTGACTAGAAACATGTTGCTTATGAAGATCTGTGGGACAACAACTCTTTCGATCGCACCCTTAGTGAATAGATCGTCGAGTTCGCTCAGTAGAGTCGACTCGTCTAACAGTGACATTTTGATTGGGGTAGGAGGATAATTTTGTATAGGTTTGTCTGAAAAGTCCAGGTGGAACCCGGACACCGTCTGAAGGATCCAAGGATCCTGAGTGAGTTGAGACCACTGTTGGGAAAAAAAGGTTAACCGGCCTGCAATAGGAAGGTCCATTACCTGTAGCAGTGCGACCGCGGAGGGAAGCGGATCCACGTCCTCGGATAGCTCCGCGAGAGGGGAAAAACTGCCTGTGGTGGAATCGGGTATTGCCTGAGTTCCAGGTGTCTGAAGGTCGAGGCCTGTAGCCTGTGAAGGCGGCTCTACCAGTCGCTCGGCCTCTATAGCGACCAGCTCTTCCGGAAAAACGCTGAGTGCGAAATACCTTGCGAATGGAGGATTGTGCTTTTGTCAGCGTAGTAAAGACAGAGACGTGCTTACTTAGTTCTTTTATGAACTTGTCTCCAAATAACATGCCTTGAGCCTCTGGACCAAGTTTTTTAGGACGTGGAGTTTGGCATCGATTTTTATAAAGGACGGCCTTCCGCCGTTCTGTTGATATTGCCACATTGGCATTGCCTAAAAGGCATAAGGCCCTTTGTGCCCACTCTCGCACCATATGTGCATCAAATGTGCCACCTGATAAAGCCTCGTCTGCAATAATGAAGATTTGTATGAGCGGGCCCGCCACATCCATCAACTTGTCTTGAGTGGCTTTCAGACCCTGTTCTAGACCCTTACGGGGGTCTTTCCCCGACTTGGTTAGAAAGGTAATAAGGAAAGGGTCGAATTCAGGTGTATTGGCCACCTTGTCTGGGATAGTGGGGCGTGGGCATTCTGCCCTCAATTTGGCTCTCACCTCTTTTTCTAAAGGCCGACGGAGCCACATTCTACAGTATTTGGCAATGTGGTCCGGGGGTGTCCATTCGGCAGATCTAGGGTGCCTGATGCATCTGGGGTCAAATAAAGGGCGGCCAGAGGTGTCAAATAAGGTATCCTCTTTTAAGTTAGGGTTTTCAGAGGTGAGATCAGACTCCAATTGGAATTCCTGTAGAGGTATGAGGGGGGGTTCATTAATTGCAGAATCGGAAGGGTAAAGGTCTCGGAATGTCTTATGAGGTGGAGCCTCAGTATCCGAGTGTTCTGCGTAGTATTCGTCTAATACTTGGAGATTATAATTAGAGGTTGAACCCTCAAATGCATAAAAATCATGTTGGGAGGTGGTTTGCTTGGGTTTAGAATAGGGAACTTTAGGGTGTTTAGCAGGCGCTTTGCCTTTACCGGCGGTGGCGCTCTCGCCCTTCCAAGGGCGTTTGCGAGGGGCTTCATCATGCTCTGAAGCGTGAGAATCCTCGGAGTCTGAGAGTTGGGTAATGGTCGCCGTAGGGGCTAGGACTGTCTGTTCGCGGAAAGCCGCTAAAGCTTTGGGTATAGATTCAGTAATGGCATTGAATAGGTAAGCCTTAAGTTCGGCAGAAACTGCTGGTTCTGGCATATCCGACATAATGTCAGTTACAGTGGGGTCACCACAAAAGAATTTATTTATAATATTTACAAATTTTTTTTTTTTTTTGTGCAGACAAATGAATTACAATGAGGTGGTGGACTTAGACTGCGTGTAAAAAGCAGGAGAACAATTATCCTGTAAAAGTGGAGTTCGTCCACAATTTGTCAGTGGGGTTCACCCAGAGAGAGAAGGACAATATAGTGTCCAAGGTCCAATAACAGGTATGTACCCATACACATACACATATATACACACATACACACACTGCTGTGTGTGTGTGTGTGCTGTGTGAGGGTGCTGTTAGTGTGATGTGTGTGTGACGGTGCTGGTAGTGTGCTATGTGGGTGAGGGTGTTTGTGTGTGGGTGCTTGTGAGGATGCTGTTAATGTACTGTGTGTGAGGGTGTTGTTTGTGTGTGTGTGTGTGAGTGTGCGCTTGTGAGGGTGCTGTTAATGAACTGTGTGTAAGGGTACTGGTAGTGTGCTGTGTGTATGTTTGTTAGGGTCCTGTTTGTGAGGGTACTGTTAGTGTGCTGTGTATGTTTGTGGGTGCTGTATGTCTGTGGGTGCTGTATGTGTGTGGGTGCTGTGTATGTCTGTGGGTGCTGTGTATGTGTGTGGGTGCTGTGTATGTCTGTGGGTGCTGAATGTATGTGGGTGCTGTGTATGTCTGTGTGTGGGTGTGTGATTGTGTGGGTGGAGGTGGGAGTACATTAATTGCTATCCCCCCTCCCTTCTTACCTTTTGTAGGGAGGGGGGATCCTTGTTGCTGCTGATTCCATCCCTGGTGGTCCAGTGGAGAGTGAACTCTAGCCCCCTGTGGGGCTAGAGTTCACTCTTGCGAGATTTGAGCGTTGCCGTGGCAACGCTCATATCTCGCGAGAGGAACCCGGCGGAGCTGCCTGCAATAGCTCCGCCGGGTCCTCTCCTGCCTCCCTCCCTGCATGTGGGTCAGTGGGGAGGGAGGCTGAGAGCAGAGCTCGGATAGCGCCGGCTCTGCATGAGCCGACAGGGGAGATCCTGATATCTCCCCTGCCGGTCTCAATATACATAGGGGTGCCGCGGGGATTAGGGTGTGCCCAGGCACACCCGGCACACCCCGTGCGCACGCCTATGTATGTACCTGTGTAATCATATAGGGATTACCCTGTATAGAGGCAGTAAAGGGGGTCACCCTTGAAGGAGAGGCTAGAGGGGGTCACCCTCAGAATAAAGGCTAGAGGGGGTCACCCTCAGAATCAAGCAAGGATTTTGTGCAAGCTTGTTGATAGTTATGCTGTAATATGAAAGAAAAATTGAAATTTTGAGTACTGGGTATGTATCTTTAATTAAACTAAAGGGTCTGGGGCTTTAAGAGGTAAAAATATACTTACCAAATGGCTGGGTCGCGTTCTGCAGTGAGAGCCGAAACGCAAGGGAACCGCCACGCATAAGCCTACCCCAAGATGGCGCTGAGAGGGAGCCCGGGAAAAAACTCATAGAAATGGTCGCAGCATAAAGAAAAGGCGGGACGCGTCTCTATGGAGACGCCAGGGCAACACACATTGTGTATGAGGAAACTGAGCGGCTGAGCGGACTGGCAAAATGCCGGGCGCTGCGGGGAAAGTGTCAGTGCTATGAGAATTTAAACTGACAGCACAATAAAATTAAAGAGTGAAGAAATGTGAGGTAATCTGAGTTTGTGGGCTGACTGGAGTGTCAGCCCATGTAACCTAAGTAAATAGAAGCAAAAAGCACAGAAACAGAAAGAGAAAAACTGTATGAAAAATATTAAAATAATATACAATATGTAATAGTCAGCTAAAATAGAGAATTAATAGGAGTATAATTGGAATAGACTCACCTGGGAGGCTAAGCAGCAAAGAAAGAGGAATTGGGAGGAGCCTGATGACAGTTTATATTACTGTAATGCATACTGATTGGTTAAACTTTTTTTACACTGCTGTTAACTGTTTCTTTGCTGCTGGGAGTTACAGTAAAGAAAGATAAGCAAATATGAAGCCTCCTGTCTTGCCATAAAATTATATCATAACTCCACTGGAAGTATTTGTAGTCACTTAGAACCACAAGCCTATGGGCATGGTTCTATTGATCTAGATTGGACTGTCTAGGTATTGAGCTACTGGTTCACAGAGAGGAATGTGGACAGATATTTATACTGCTTTTATATGTATGAATATATTTGAGAATTTGATGGTGCATACTATCTACTATCTATTTGAGCAAGATGCTGATCTAGAGCTCTATATAAGAGTCTGTCAGTGCTCATCTGCTTACTTGTGAGTGTGTTGAAACTTATGCTTATCCCTTTATTTATGGTTTAGCCCTACGCATTTTTAATTTCATTTTCTCTCTGTGTGTTCCTGTTGATTTGTATGAATTATCCATATTTATTGTATTGTTTATTAGTGTGTTCATATACACTTTTGTGTGTTTTTTTAAAGGCTTTCACACCTTATATTTATATTTACATTTAAGTTATTTAGTGTTGTGAAGCCATTGCACTTTACTTGACTGCTGCATTAAGATGGTTTAATGTAAATTTCAGTGCCATCTATTCACTTGTTTTAATTGCACTTACAAAAAGGGTTAAATTAAGAATTGGATGTTTGACATTTCCTCTAACAATATAAACACTCCTTTCTATCTCAGATGACTTATTTAATTAAGGTTAGCTATATTCCAGCATTGGGCTTATTTTTAAAAAGCAGTCATTAAAGGGAAACTCCAGTGCCAGGAAAACAATCCGTTTTCCTGGCACTGCAGGTTCCCTCTCCCTCCCACCCCCCAATCCCCGATTGCTGAAGGGATGAAAACCCCTTCAGTAACTTACCTGAGGCAACGACGATGTCCCACGTCATGCGTTATCAATGGTTGTGAGAGTGGTCTCCCATCAATAGCTTCAACAGCTAGGGGTGATAGTCTCTCTTTGATAGGTATAGTATTACCCATGACAAATTGAACGTCGATGAAGTTTCCAGCTGCACCTGAATCCATCAGGGCTTTGCATGAAAAGTTATTTTTGTCAAAGGTGATAGAAATGTCAAGGAGAAACCTATTTTTATTATTTTCAGAGGACGTTTCCATTACACCTAAGACCTGTCCCATTATGGTGCTGTAGTTTTCCGGACGTATGGGACAATTGTTTCTCATATGTCCCTTCCTAACGCAGTATAGACACAGGCCTTCTTTTCTCTTCTCCTATATTGTCTTTCTGCTTCCGACAGTCTAGTGACCCCCAACTGCATGGGTTTGGGTTCGGACTGTACAGGAATTTCAGGGACAATAGGTATGGAGAAACAGGGTGCTAAATGCATACTCATGCATCTGGTCTTCTTGTTTCTAGTAGCTTCTCTGGTTTTCAGTCTATTATCAATCTGCATGACAAAAGTGATAGATTCATTAAGATTTTTGGGTAAGTCTTTGGCTGCAATCTCATCCTGCATAGTTTAAGATAATCCCTTTTTAAATGCAGAGATTAACCCACTATTAGTCCAGTCTACCTCGAAAGCTAGGGTACGAAATTCTATGGCATAATCCGAGATAGACCGGTTCCCTTGTCTGATATGCATCAGGGCAGTAGAGGCGTCATCCTCTCTGCCTAAAGGTTCAAACGTAAGTTTGAATTCCGTAAGGAACTCCTGGTAATTGTGTGCCACACTCCTATTACTCTCCCATAATGGACTGGCCCAAGCTAAAGCTTTACCTTTTAACTGATTCATTAGGTAACCAATTTTAGCTCTATCTGTGGGAAAAGATCCTGGTGAGGCCTCAAAATGTTACTCCATTTGGTTAAGAAATCCCCAGCATTCTTGAATATTACCATCAAAATGCAGGGGAGGAGATAGGGAGATAGTAGGTGCCTTGTGTACATAAGGTGGAAGTGAGGACACAGGTTGCCGGTGCGCTGTTCAGGTAAGAAGTGTACTGAAGGCCTGGGCAAATTGATCCATGCGGTGATCATTATCCTCCAGTTTCCTTTCACAAGCAGCTATGTTCTTACACAATTCTACAGGATCTATGGCCATGTCGTAATGTCAGGATGACAGTATGATCCAGCATGTAGAATTGTGTAACACAGAGGACTGATAGGTAACGTATACCGGACCTTAGAATGGCCGGACTAACGTACCAAAGAATAGTCAGGAATAGCCAAGGTCAAGGGATACAGAAAGAGACACAACGATAAGGAAAAGACAGGGGTCAGGAATGCCAGAAAACAGGGAAGTCAAATACCCAGAATTACCAGAATCAATAATGCGCTCTCGGACAACCACAAGGGAAACCACGACAGGGCACTGAGCATGAGAACTGGGCCTAAATACCCCTCCTCTGGATGGGATAGTGTGTAATCAGCCTTTGACCCCAAAGGCAGTTACCAGGTTTCCATTTGCATAATTGCTGCTCAGCACAAACCCTGCTGTGGATTTGATTGCTGCTCGGCACAACTTTTCCTGTCAGGACAGTAATGTTGTTCGGCACAACTTTTTCTGTCTGAACAGTAAATTCCATTAATCACATTTTTATAAGCGGATGAATACGTGACAGTTACATGTCACAAAATACAAGGACTACAATAAAATTTCAATTTGCTAAAATTTTAGAAGTTGGTATGTTTGTCTTGTAGGTTTAGTAGCCATCACAGAAAAATAAATTGCCACACAAAAGTATATATTTATATAAAGTAGACATCACAGACTATTTACCTAAGGTTTAACACTTTTTACAGAGCCATTTCATAGCCAATCTCTGCTAAATATTGAAGTAAAATTGTGCTTTTTCTATATTTTTTTTTTGTAAATATGTTTTTATTGAACATTTCGTTGTTTTGTTTTTTTTTTGTCGTTGTAGCATAGAGTAGAGGTGGGAAATGCTATGGGGCATGGGCTCCGGGTCCTGGCACAACTGTTCGAATTGCGTAAGATCCCTATAGACATCGGGGTGTTGTGGTATGGCGATGATGTAGTTCTTAATTTGGGTGTACCTAAATGTCGTCAT